GGACTCTTAAAAAATTATATTGGCCCCTTTAATCTTTGGTTATACTTTCTTTTTGGATGTTTAAGGCCATACAGTTGGTCCAGATAAGCCAATTTATTTTTACTCTTAAGGTCGTTTGAGAATCTGTTTCTCAGGGGTCACATGGGCTTGGGAGGAGCCCCTGGCTCCTTTATTTTACCAGTTCCGCCTATGTGAAGATAAGTCAAAGGTCCTCCTTGACCATGGCTGGCTTCGCTTGGAAGGATGGAGGAAGTGATTCCTCTGTGTTGACCCTCCACTTTGTAGACTGGACACTAGTTCATCTGGTGGGGTCGTCTCGGCCTCCTTGATCAAGAGGACAGGTGACCCACCACAATTGCAGGACATGTGTATGAGTGTATTGCACCTATGTTGTGCAAAGCCCATGGAGGCCAGAAAAGAGTATCAAATACCCTGGAACTGGAGTTACAGTAGTTAGTCATCATGTGGGTGCTGAGAATCAAACCCGGTCCTCTGCAAGAGCAGCCAGTGCTCTTAACCACTGTGCCATTTCTCCAACCCCCTGTCCTGTTTTTTTGGGGGGGAGGGTCTTTTTGAGACAGGGCCTCCCTGTAGCCCCAGCTGGCCTATGTAGACCAGGCTGGCCTTGAACTCACAGAGATCCCGCCTGCCTCTGCCTCCCGAGTGCTGGGACTAAAGGCGTGCGCCACCACGCCTGACCCTGACTTGATTTTAAAGTGCCTTTTCTGCTGTCTACCTTAGCAGATGCTATATTAAAGATGCTATTCAGCTGTCGCTACCTTCTGCTGCTGCTGTTGACAGTGCCGTGTCTTTCTCATTGTTCCTTCTCTCTGCCTCCTTGATGTTTGGGCTTACAGGCATTTACCAGGGGCCTGGGTTTCTCCCTCTTCCTCCTGGAGTTTCTTACAGCTGCGCTTTGGGTCACACCTCCCACCCTTTCCATGCTTTGTGCTGTTCTCTGAATAGCTCCTTCCCCCCTGCTTCATTCATGATTGTTGTCTTCAGCTGTGTGTAACATGAGATTTTTTTTTAGTCCATGTTGTTTGTTTCAGCCTTTCCATTTCTAAAAAAAGTTCTTTTAGATTTATTTGGTTGGTTGTTTTGGTTGGTCTGTTGTTGTTTCGATAACTATGACCCATTTAAATTTCTTGAAACATGAGCCACATTTTATGTACCCATTTTTTTGGTTTGTTACAGATGTTTATAATAGAGCCTTTGATTTCCATTTGTTTCTTGGAACTCATTAATGGTGTCTTGTGTGTGTGGTGTATGTGGTTTATGAATTTTTGTGTTCTGTGTGGTTGTGTGTGGGGTGTGTATGTGTGTGAGAACTGTGAGCTCAGGCTCCTTACACGCTTGTCTGCAGATTCTGTGAAGCCTGTGTTTAAGTATGTTCCTTAGAGAACAGCCTTGCATTTCCTGTGTAGTAGCATCATCAGTGCCCCTTGGGGCGTGTTTTGGGTCTAGGTCTGGTCACTTTCCAAAACAGAAATCTCAGTTCCAAACCTGACTGCATGATGGCCAATAAGAATCTCAAGGGAGACCAGTTTTAGTTGCTTCCACAGTATTCCTGAGACAGGTGAGCATCTGGAGGCTGTGGAGGTGCTTTCCCTTGTAGGCTGTCGTGGATTACAAGCTGTCTCTGCTCAGCGTCCTGTTTCAGTGCTTGCTTCAGGCTGTCTTCTCTGTAGCTTTAAGCTTTCTTGACATTTCTAGCCTTATTAAAGGCAGCCTGTGTTAATGGATTATTAGTCTTAATGTGACACCACTTTTAAGGTCTTGCTAGACATCAGTTTGGAATAATGTTAGCAAATAATGTTAGCAAGTAGTCTGTTCATGCAGTTTTTGCACCCAGTGATACAAACAGTAAAAGCCAGAAGATGCCACTGTTTACTCAGTTTGATACATCCTATTGATTACAAGATCAAGGTTTTTTTAGGTTTAAATGTGGAAAAGTTGGGGCTGGAGAGATGGCTCAGCAGTTAAGAACACTGACTGTTTTCTTCCAGAAGACCTGAGTTTGAATCCCAGCATCCACATGGCCATTAACAACTGTCTATAACTCCAGTTCCAGGGGATCTGATGGCCTCGTCTGTCCTCCTTGGGCATTTCTTGACCTGAGTGTACTTACATACATGCAGGCAACATAGGCATTCATATAAAATAAAAATAATAAGCCAGGTGTGGCACATGCCTTTCATCCCAGCAGGCAACCGCAGTTGTTTGTCTTCAGGTGCCTTTCATTTTACTTTTGCCACAGGGTTTCTCAGTGGCCTCGAACTTCCCTAATAGGCTAGACTAGCTGGCCAGCAAGCCCTGGGCATACACATGTCTACCTCTCCAACACTGGGGTTACAAGCACCCCACTACGCCTGGTCTAACTTGCTATGTAGACCTGGCTGGGCTTGAACTCACAGAGATCTGCCTGCTTCTGCCTCTCAAGTGCTGGGATTTAAAAGTGTATGATGCCACATCCTGCTGTAAGTCATTTTTTGTTGAGAAGCAGAGGCAGATGATCTCCGTGAGTTCAAGGCCAGCCTGGTCTACATAGAGAGTTCCAGGACAGCTGGGTCTAAAGGAGACACTGTCTCAAAAAGACCAAATAAATAAATAAGTACATAAATAAAATCTTTTTTAAATGTAGAAAATTTGTCAAAAGTCACTTTTGACAGGAGAGGGAGAGATGGGAAAATAGGCTAGCCTGGTCTATATAGGGAGTTCCAGACCAGCTGGGGCTATAGGGAGACTCTTGTCTCAAGAAGAAGAAAAGAAATTTAAGTCTGTTGGAACAGAACATTTTTATCACATTTGTGTGTGTGTGTGTGTGTGTGTGTGTGTGTGTGTGTGGTGTGTAGTGTGTAGTGTATGCATGCCATGGCACATATATGGAGTCGGTTCTCTCTTTCCACTATGTGTGTACTGGGGGTGAAACTCGGGCTGTCAGACTTGGCAGCAAGTCTGCTGAGTCATCTTGCCATCCCTGATACAAGACGTTTTAAAGACCTTTCATAACAAAGGTGGACATCAGAGGGCTCGGTGCTTAACATTTCTTTTTGCATGTTGATATGTCTTTCATTAAATTTCTTAGTATGGTCAAGGCCATCATTTCCTAAAAGCTCCTCTCTTTTTTTAAAAAATATTTTATTATTTTTATTTTATGTGTATGAGTGTATTGCCTACATGTATGTAAATGCACCCATGTTGTGCAGTGCCGCGGAGGTCAGAAGAGGACTTCCAGGGGAATCTGGAGTTAAGGATGGTTTGTAGCCACCATGTGGGTGCTGGGAATCGAACTCGGGTCCTCTGCAAGAGCAGTCAGTGCTCTTAAACCACTGAGCCTTCTTTCCAGCTCATCCTGATGGCTCTTCTAAGAAGACAAGCAGCATAACATTTTGAGCACTTGCTTGCTCTTTTAGTGTGTGGGAAGTGTGAACTGGGTTTCGTGTCAAGGTATTTGTTTTGTGTCTGGCACTGAAGCATTTGGAGTCTTACTCAAGTTGCTTTTGCTTATTTTCAAACAGGGCCCAGGCATGGAGGAGCTGATATGGGAGCAGTACACTGTGACACTGCAGAAGGTGAGTCCCATACATTGTGTGCATCTGCGTGATGCTTGTGAATTCGTGTTCATGGACTTTACTCAGTTTGGCCTCACCATTTTATTTTTATCTCTCTGAGGTAATAATGCATTATTGATATTAGCTGGCAATAATTAACATGCTGGCCAAGATTTGCATGTAATTTTTTTTTATTCAATTTTGTTTACAATAAAGCTTTTTTTTTTTTTTCCTTTGAGACAGGGTCTCCCTATAGCTCCAGCTTCCTTGAACTCACTCTGTAGATCAGGCTAGCCTTGAACTCACAGAGGATCCGCCTGCCTCTGCCTCCCAAGTACTGGGATTAAAGGCATGTGCCACCATGCCCAGCACAATAAGGCATTTTAAGGATGATTTAGGACCTGCACTTCTCTCCAGACAAAACAGATTTTTGAAAGAATGAGAGGAGGGGAAAATGAAAATAACTGGCACTGTTTAAGGACATTGAAGTAGCATTTCCAGTTTATCAATTTATATAATCAGCACCTTTCCCTCCCTCCCTCCCTCATGGTTTTTTTCTTTTTTTTTTTTGGTGCTGGAGTTGAATTCATACCCTCTCATATGCTGAGAACACAAGACGCCCTGGGTTCAGTCCACTGAGCCACTCCCCTACCTCATCTGTAATTATGTATCTTTTAACTCTCTCAAGTAAATTTTAAGTCCAAAATAAATTTGAAAAGATTAGCTTAGGAATCAAGAGATTCAGTCCTGAATACAGTGTATGGGTGTGTGTACAGGCGTATGTACCAATGTATACCTGTGTATGCTAGCGCATTGCATATGTTTTTGTATGTGCTGCGAGCACATGCTCTAGTGCCTGTGCCTGTGGCGATCAGAAGTCAACCGCAGTTGTTTGTCTTCAGGTGCCTTTCATTTTACTTTTGGCAACAGGGTTTCTCAGTGGCCTGGAACTTCCCTAATAGGCTAGACGAGCTGGCCAGCAAGCCTAGGCATACACATGTCTGCCTCTCCAACACTAGGGTTACAAGTTCCCCTACTACGCCTACTCTAACTTGCTATGTAGACCAGATTGGGCTTGAACTCACAGAGATCCACCTGCCTCTGCCTCCCAAGAGCTGGGATTAAAAGTGTACAATGCCACACCCAGCTGTGAGTCATTTTTTGTTGGTTGAGCTGGTCTAGACTGCCCTCAGTCAGTCCCCAGTGCTCCCCCGCAGCCCCCATGCACATGTGCATACCATGGAGCTATGGAATTCAGAGGACAACCTTGGGGAATCTTTGGTGGGGATTGAACTCAAGTTGTCAGGTGAGCTGCAAGCACCTTTACCCATTGAGCTATCCTTCCAGCCATGACAATACTAGCTTTTTGTTTAGGTTTTATCTTTAAAGTCTATATACTTCTTTTTAACCCTAAATCAAAATGAAATTGCTATCTTATCTAACTTTAATTTAAAGGTATACTGTTTTTTATTTTATTTTATTTTATTTTTTGACTCAAGTTGTCAGGTGAGCTGCAAGCACCTTTACCCATTGAGCTATCCTTCCAGCCATGACAATACTAGCTTTTTGTTTAGGTTTTATCTTTAAAGTCTATATACTTCTTTTTAACCCTAAATCAAAATGAAATTGCTATCTTATCTAACTTTAATTTAAAGGTATACTGTTTTTTATTTTATTTTATTTTATTTTTTGTATTTTTGAGACAGGGCCTCCCTGTAGCCCCTGCTGGCCTGGAACTCACTATGTAGACCAGGCTGGCCTTGAAAACTCACAGAGATCCACCTGCCTCTGCCTCCCACGTGCTGGGATTAAAGGCGTGTGCCACCATACCTGGCTAAAAGATT